GCCAAATTTATTGAAATATATATTTTATATATATAATGCCAATATATATATGCCTATGTGTATATATACATACATATATGTCAATATAAGTATCTTGATATTTCATATGACTTCTAGTAATTTTTTTCTGCCTATTAAACCTGGATACTCCAGTAGAAACTCTTTTTGTCCATATCTACCTCTTTCCTGGGGCACAAGAGAGGTTATTAGACAGAGAGCTAGGATCTTTCACTTGTCTAGACTGTCTGCCCTTCATTAAAATAACCACTGTTATTTCAGGAGTTTGAGATGTAGTATTTGGCTATAAGAATGCACTATTAAACAAATTTACCTTGTGGCTATAACAATATTAGCCTATAGCAGAAAAGCATGGAATATATATATATATATCAGGAAACAAAGAGCTGAAAAATGCATAAAAGTAATAATTCCCTACATTTAGCTATGCTAATTTCTGTCTCAGACTTCTGATTATGTTATTTACATTTCATATTATTTACCCAGTTTTTGAAAATCATTTTGAGTGTCTTTTGCATATTTTTTCATGTTTGTTTTTATTGCATAAATAAGTGGGTTTTGGATAATGTTTTGTGTTTTTTGGCATACATTTCTAGATGCATTGGGTTTTTATGTTTGCTGAGATAAAAAGGCTAAAAGTTTTGAAGGGCAGGTGATAGCTTCTTGCAAACCTCACTCATTACACATTAATTCTGTAAAGAATATTGCAAGTGGAGCAGAATATAAGAAATTAAGGGACCCTCATCAAGAAGATTGTTAATAGTAGTATATTTGTCTTAGTTTAACTTTTCTTAAACATTTACTATTTAATAACTTAAAACTGTTGGCAAGTTAGTACATTGGAAAACAGTGAGAGTTCAGAGTTAGATTCCAACTCAACTTGTTTTTTTCCATCACTTTTCTCCCTGTTGCTGAAGGCCTTTAGCAACTACTTAAAGACCCAATTTTTCTCCTTGTGGCTCAGCTACTAATCCTGACTCAGGGGTTTTGTTTAGTTCTCCAGACCAACACTGACCTCTAAACTTTGTTAATATTCTGAATTTTACCAGCAAAGATTACAAGTTTCAATCAGCACTGATACAGCAGTTGTCATTAAAGCTTATTGATATGACATTTATTTCGATTTGCTTAAGGTGGAACAATCTAATTTTCATCTATGTTATACTATGTCCCAGGGAAAAGTTCTGTAAAATTGAGAAATCTCACTTTCTGTCTTCTTTGCAGTGACCTGCTATATTCCTAATTTTAGTGAATGTATTAAAATATACAAAATAGAATGTTCTAAGCATTTCTCCCACCCTCATTCAGTGATCTACAGTCTCACAGTTTTGCTTTTCCTGTCCCTTAGGTATGCTTATTCATAAGTATGCCATCTAGTAGTTTATGACTGTTAGAGACTGAGATGTGGATGATTCAATGTTTGCCAATTCTCTTTTATATATAATACTACTTTATACACTGAGAGGAATATTGTGCCGCATCTATTTTTCAGGTAAAAAAGCTGATTTTTAGAGATTAATTGTACAAAGCTATCACAAATAGGCACTGTGTTATTTTGGCCATGTCTTACCATCTATATTTCTCTCATCTTGTATGGGGAAAATGAGGACTTTTGCACACATTCCTGAAACAGCCCTTTTCCACTTTCCAGTCCTAGGGACACTCTTAGCAGACAGGAACTATCTGGGTAAGTGTTATCTGAAGGAAGCTGGAAACTGGGAAAATTAGTGTTCCAGCAAAAGCTGCCTTCCATAGGAAGTCAGCCATTCCTTGGATTGCTGTTAGAACAATGGAACAAAGGGAGCTGATGGTGTCACTGCTATGTAGTCTAAACTGTAGTGTGCTCTGGGCAGCAGATCTGTCAAACAGAACAACTAAAAAGTTACTGCTGAACCTGTTGTGTGACACTGGTGTTGGGGACATATCTCTCATATATTTTGCCAGGTGGTGCCGCTGGCCTACACGCACCCCCACTGGAAATGCTGACTGGCACCTGTCGAAGAGTCTGTACCCCTCCTGGGTACACATACAGTCTGTATCCCCTTGAGGATCTTCCAAGAAATGCTGTTGGACATGTGTGTGCTTCTTGTGGACATTCCTTCACTAGTAAATTGCAATTAACCTTTTATTTCCCTCTTAGTATGTTTTAAACTTGTCTCTTGCAAGCTGTCTCCAGGCATTTCCTTCAGTCTCTTAGTCACACCATTGTACAGCACACTTGGGCTACATGTGAGATGTATCATCACTATCTCTAGAGATTGCAATAGGCTTCTCACTACAGAGTTCAGGATAATACTTTGAAATATAAGTATATAGAAATAGTCTTCTCAAATCCATCATACTAATAGCCAAAATCCTTACAATGGTTTCCATGTTATATTTCTTTATAATTTCTTTTTTGTTGTTGTTGTTGGGTTTTGGGTACTGGAGACTGAACTTGGGTCCTTGCGCTTGCAAGGCAGGCCACTGAACCGCTGAGCTAAATCCCTGGCACTCTTTATAATTTCATATTCCGTCATTCTCAAGTTATTAGCAAATATGTTGAGACTATTTGAGATCTGAGAATGGAGCCAAATTCAAGACACAAAGCCAACAAATAGACAAGGACTTGCATACAGAAGTAAGGTGAACTAGTTGTATCTTGTTGCACATTGTTGAAAATTGCATGGCTTCAAACAACACGAGTTGCTCCTTATATCTCACAGGTTCAGTGGAAAAGAATTAACAAATAGAATCTTTTGGCTGAGGACTCCCTCATGGGCTTAATATGGTAGGCATCTGTCAGTGAGGGATGGAGTTCTCTGAAAGACAGACTGAAGTTGAGGGATCTGTTTCAAATAAGCAACTTGTGTTGTTTTAAGCCATTCCATTTTTAAACAATATGCAACAGGATAGAACTACTTCCCTCTACCCCCAAGTACAAGTCTTCGTATATTTGTTGGCTCTGTGTCACTCGCTAGGTTGGCTAGCCGATGCTGACTTTTGTCAAGAGATCTAAGTTTGTACCTCACAATGTAGTGGAAGGCTTCCTCCAGAATGTGATCCGCAAGGCCAGTGTAGGAGGTCCTGTGCCTTTTATAACCTTCCTTGGGGAGTTCACGTTCTCTTGATGTGCACTATTCTCTTTTTAAAATATTTATTAGTGCATATGAATTATGCAGAGTAATGGGTTCACTTTTGGGATCTTGGTGTATACTTTGATTATTTTCATCCTTCATCCCTTCTTCCTACTTCCCTCCCCTCATCCCCAAATTCCTTCCCCACTTCTAAGAGTCCTTTTTTGGTACTGTCTTGATTGTAGAAATAAGTCCTGATTTGTTGTGTAGGGTAGAAATATGTACTAGAAGTCTAGAATCACTGCAGATCATTCTTGTGGCTGGCTGTCTCTCATAATTAAAGTCTTGGATGAAACTTTACCTGAAATGTTGCTATTAATCTGGTATGGGTTGATTCTTATGTCATTTTCAATATGCATACTCTTAACTGGAATATTGCAGTCCTAACAGATTCATTGATCGATTTGTTTAAAGAGCTTTCAATCAGAAGAATAACATAAAATTCAAATTATTTAAAAAGGTGGAGTTCCTTAAGTGTTCATCCTTTCAAATATAAGTAAGAGGTGAAAATGATTAATCACTGGATGACCTTGAAGATAGATTTATTTTGTCCAAACCAAGAAAAGATTGCCATGAAAGTAAATATAAATGCTACTAGGTTTTTCATCTTAGCTCTTGAAGGGATATTTGGAAATAGATTGCCTTAGGTCTTGTGATGTAAAGTTGGATGCAACTTTGTTAGCCAAGTTATATTGGTTGTCATTAAGAGGTTAAGCTTTGAAGTAGCTTTAAAGGATGTTTATTATTATGCAAATACATCTTGTCAGCTTGGAAAGGGGAGGCTTGATATTTCTCACTTCTTTCCTCTTTTCATTAGGTGTAGTTAGAAATTAGTTATTCTACTGTCAGGTATCATGTAAGACATGTCTCTACTCTGTTGTAGCACATTTCTATTGTTTTAAGAAAAAAAATGATTTTTAGTGACTTTTTAGCATTTGCTTTTGCTGTAACGCTGTCTAGTCTTCAATAAATGTGCTTTCTTTACACATAAAAGGAAATATTATGAAATTTATTATAAAGGTGATGTGAAGAGCAAAAACAATCTTAAAGATTTACTTAATATGCAAATTTAATTTCTTAGTTTAAAAATATTAAGAACTTGTTTTCAGAGTCTGCAATACAGTGAATATGGTATTTTGCTAATTGTTCTGATGTGGACACTCAGGTATTGAGATTTAGACCAACTGAATACAGAACTTCTTTACAAATGTTAATTTCTAGAAAACAATGCAATTTTTGAAATTCTGTAGACATTTGAATTATTTTGGTTATAGTTTAACATGGCAATAATTGAAAATTTCAAAAAATTAAAATGTTCCTTAAAGGCCTCTCTCAATTTCACTTTGTTCTATATTTTTTTTTCCTTAAACCTCTCTTTTTGGCATGCTTTTACGCATTCCATTTGGATTCCTTTTTTAAATGCAAATAGGATTTTAGCAAATTTGCTTGAGAGAAAGAAACTCCTGTGAACAAAAAAATAGGCATAAAATAAATAAGTAGCCACTGGTAATTTTGATAGCAAGAGAGCTAACGTGTCCCAACGTGTTCCTGTGCAAAGTGAATAAGCAGATGTGGGAGATGCTTCCAGCCAGCTCTAGTTAAAGATGGACGTAAAATAAAGAATCTGGAAGGCATCACTATGACTCTTTCTACTTAGCAACTAATAGGCAGTAAGTAAGACATATGTCTGTGAAAGGGTATAGATGATGCTTTCTAAGAATTTCATGCAGAAATACGGGGACAAAGTCATTTAGCACAATTTAGAGACATCTGTTGTATCAATCAGCTTTCCCCTTGCTGAGGCACAATACTTGCCACTTACAGCTTCAAAGAGGAGAGGTTTAATTTGATTCTTGGTTTCTACAGATTCAGTTGGTGGCTGGCTGGATCTAATGCAGAAATATGGCAAAAGTGCATAGTGTAACAAAGCGACTTAGCTTACGGTGGCTGGAAAACAGAGCAAGGGTGAAGAGTGCTAGAGAAGAAGGGATGAGAGAAGAGATATAGATTCCAAGGTAACACCTCCATAACACACCCAGACACACCTAGAATTGGGCTCTACCAATCCGCTGAGCATGTCCTTAAGCTAGTTAAATTGATAATTAAGATAACTGTCACAACCATTAAAATAGTAATTTTGTTATTAATTACATTTATAGTACTCGAGCAGATTGTGACATTGATGTGTATTTTGGCTTGGGTTCTTCTGCCTTTCTTGTGAGAGAAAGCCTCCCTATATCTTCCTTGTATACCCACAGGCAGGGTCTTTCTTGTGGCTGCTCATTTGGAGTTAGAACTAGACATAATTCACTACGTCTACCCACGGCCAGATGAAAAAGTGAGTCAGCCAAGCAGGCCGCTCATGAGAACTCATGTAAAACATTACATGTATGTCTGCCAACTCTCTACAATGAATGTAATCATTATGTACTGAAAATATGTACTAATAAAAATTTTAAAATAAACTTTAAAGTATTGTAAAAATAAAATAAAGGGAAACAAAAAATTAATAGGATATTAATAGATAGTTGATAGTATAATGTGGTAGAAAAATAACATCTACCAAAATTCCCCTGAGACAATTCTCCATAGTGACCTTGTATTTTATGTGACATGCCTTTGAGTAGGATTATTCCAGTGACATCAGGGCTTTTGTTGGAATGAGCAGGATTAGAAAACTTCATGATAGGATAAAATAACTTTGAATAAGGTGAGCCAAACTATTTTTATTCATTTCCCTCTTCTTGTATGACACTCAAACTTTCTTGGAAATAAATATAAAGTATGTATTTAAAGACCTTCAACTTAAAGTGATTCCAGATTTTAGCCTGTTTGTAGGGTTCTCCCATCTAATACACCTTGCCTAATGCCCGATCAAGAATTCCCCTTATCTCTCAATTCCTGGGCTGTCTAGTCCCCTCATGCACGTTATTTTACTTCTCCTCAGTCATGCTTAACATACTACTCACCCACACCCAACCATAAACATTAAACATTTTTATTTACTTTGTTGCTTTATCTTCAATGACCAAAACAATATATGGCACATGCTAGGAACTCAATAAGAAACATACTAAACCGTTATAATAAATGTTTCTTGTATGAGTGAATGACTATGTATTAAATTTGCCAAAGATTTCTTGGAACAAGCTCTGAATTATAAAATGTTTAATAGTCCAAGTTTCCTTAAGATTATTCTGTGCTAAAATTTTGGAAATCACATCACTTGGCTTATTCCCTGGTATAGCTTATCTTATATTAGCACTGACCAGGTTTCTTAGAGGACCCTGAACAACGGTACAGTGGATTTTAGTTTAGTTGTTCTTAACCTATTTGAGCTCCCAACAAAATTGCACAGCCTTGTGGCTCTGGGCTTCATTAGGGAGGCAGCTAAGCCACTTCAGTTTTCATTTATAAGGAAGGGCAATTGATACGAGATCCAGAGAAATAAAATATGTAGTCTCCTTTGAGACAGTGAAAATGACTGGGCTGAGCATGCTCAGTCATTTCTCTCAACTCTTCGTCACACAAGTCATTTTTTCTACTTTGGGAAAAAGATATGTGTGTGTGTGTGTGTGTGTGTTTGTGTGTGCGCGCGCGCGCTTGGGGTAAAACCAAGGAATGTGTTCTAGAGAAAATCTTATCATGGATATATCAGGTCAGAAAAATGGAGTTCACCCCCATCCCAGGCCATCCAACAATTCCCAGTCTTTATGACTTGTTGGGCTGAACTGTCCAGCTCATAGTCATTTATAGCTGTAGCATTCCTCAGGGAGAGAATATGAATAGATTACCAAAAGTATAAACAATTCTTTTCACACATATGTGAATCCACACTCTCTCAGAATTAAACACTTGTTTATTCTTTCTGAAATATGATTGAGTGGTTTAGTATTTGGCTTGAAGGACTAAATAAGATATGGCTTTTATCATTGCATCAATCAAATTAGCTATTTGCCTAATAATAAATATTCATAGAAAATTTAAAAAATAGGAATGGTTAAAGGGTCATTTTGTGACAAGGAGAGTTTGTACTGGTATGAGCATCTTTCATTTTATTATCCCTGCTCTATGGAATCATCTATTGTTATTTTGATATTTACTGGGTTAGTTTTACTCATTTTAAATTTTCAGTTTAGATTACATTTCCTCCAAAATATCGAGGTCCTTCTTGGCTTGGTTAGTTACCCATGCTATTTGACTCCTGCAACTCTCTTTAACACTTAGCACCTTGTACTTCTTGTTATCAAGCCCTATTCACATTTCTGGTAGTAAATTCTCATTTCAATGTCTCACTCCTTTCCTGAGTTAAATGCCCTGGGAGGGTATTATCATCATTTTGTTTGCTACTATTAGCAAGGCAACTGTGATGTTAATAAATTGTTATTAAACGAAAGAATGATTGATTCCCAGAGAATAGAAGCCATTAAATTTTCCTGGCATGAATCTTTACATTTAGTGTTTGGAGAATTCACAGATTTCATAGAGCAATTGTTTCTCACAGGTGGCTACCATGGAAACATGTACCCATGTTGTTGCTTATTAGAGGACTGATCACTCCATGGAAATGCTTTTCTGTATACTCTTTGGCTGGTCATAGATCTTGTAAGCAATTTTTTTTTTCCCTTTGCTATTTGAATTTTTTGTTGTTTCTAGAACAGGACTTTTTGATGTTGAGTTTATGAAAAGCATTCAAATAGAATACAAAAAGATGACATTTATTAGTAATAGGAAATTTCTGCCAGTACCCCCAGCAAAAGGAGTATGTGAGTTTCAAATAATCATTCTGGCTCACTAAGAAACAACCCTGAGGCTTGGAGTTCTTAATAGGATAAGACCCTTGCATATGAAATACTTTGCATTTTGGTTGTGGGTGAAGAAATGTGAAACAATGCTTCCAAGGGAATATTTCCAGGAATGAGGAATAATCTATGCTACAAGTCTCACCCAGCCCAGTGATCCTCAGACGAGCAAATACTTAATTCTTCCTAGAGGCGCAAAAAAGAAAGCTTAGGGTATTCAGACATCATTGTGTAGAACACAGTCAATATTTTTCTGTTTAAAGTTTCCAAAGTCCAGACAACAAAAGGAAACTAAAATTCGATGTACACTTTCAAAGATGATTAGGGTAACCTCTAAAGTACCAATTAAGTGGAGTTAAAAAAAAAACATTTTAAGAAGAAATATGAAATATTTGGAAATGGAAAAAAGAGTCATTTGACTATCTTCAAGAAAATGTTGCTCATTTTCTAGTGGGTTGTTCTGGGCTTATGCAATTTTATAGAGATCTGAGATTTTCACTGACCTTGAGGTATCTTGTACCTGTATAGATTGTAGAAACTGACAGTAACGCAAATGATGCCATCATATTGATTAATGCCAACAAAATATGATGTATTGATCAAAATACCTAGTTTACACACAAAAAATAAGGTACAGAATTCAGGAAATTATATAATACCACATAACAAACAAATGGGAGTTAAAATTACCCTAATTGTTGGTAAAGAGCCAACTTGCTTCTTTTTCTTTTTTTGGTGCCAGGGATTGAACTCATGCTTGTTTGAGGCAGGTGGTGGCATGACTGAGCTAAATCCCTGGCCCTAATTGTTGGGAAGGAAGTTTTGGCTTTAACAAGTATACCACGCTATCTCTGTAACTTTGCTTCAACCTTAAATCCACTTTCAGAGCAGTACCACTATTGATGGATATCATCCAGCTACCATAAAGTGTATTCAAAATAATTCATAATATCAACTTAATTTTTTCAATATACACAAACTATAATAACCTCCCAAATACCTTTTAAACCCATATTGCCTAGAATTATTTTAAATTAAATAATTCAAACTAGCTTGAACTAAAAAGAAAGAAATGAAAGAAATTTTTGGTTCATTACATTGAAAAGTCAGTGGGGTCAACGGTCCACATAATTGAGTGGAAAGGCTAAAATAATGTTTTGGGGTTATTTCTTGGTCTCCTGGATCTGTTGTGTTTTTTACTTCATCCTCTCCAATTTAACAAGGTTAGGCCTGTGCTCCTGAGAAAGCTGACTCCATGCAACCCAAGCGTATATTGTCTGCATAGCTTATAATTCCAGGAAAGGAAAAGTCATATTTGTTGATAGTTCCAAAATAATTTCCCATCAGAGTCCTCAGGTAATATATTCCAATAGACTAGATTATCATATCTACTTCTGCTATATTTTCACTTTTCCTGAATTATTTGATTTCCTTCCCTAAACATTAGCCTACATATACACATACAGCTGCTTGATGACCCCCTGTTGTCTTCATTTTTCCCATTTTCTTCTGATTTTGTACTATTGCATTCAAAATAATATAGCAGAATAAGTTTCATTGATCAGTAAGACACAATAAAATCACACAGGCAAATGAAGAAACCAAAACACTCTAAAAAATTTAAATGTATGAGCCTATCTAATTTTCTTTTCTCTGTACAAGGGGGAATTGAAGATTCTGTTTCCCTTACAGTTTACATCTGGGAGAGGAAAGTACAAAAGGCACCATGATGCTGCCTGGAAAGAAGGAGAGATCATTTAAGGGTTGAGACTTGGAAGGAGCCATAAAAGCTTGCAGACAAATGAAAAACTGTCTTTTTATTTAACATTGGCTTGTTCGAGTCAATTCATTTTATTCTTAAATGTTTTTATCTTTCACGATTCTATGTTTTACTTACAGTTTAAAGAATATCTGCAGGCCTTCTGTCTGCACAGTAAGATAATTAGCTGAAGTTCAGTAATGTCCTTAAGTAATAGTAAATAGTTCAGCATTTGTATTTCCCTGCAACAGAATTGTTATGAATTAAATGTTCTGATGTTTATTGATTTTTAATTTCTCCAAGTTAAAACATGTTGAATGCTATTTTCCCACATAGGGAAACGTTAAAGACTTTGGATTAGGTAAGCAA